CTCCGCCAATTTTGGCATTGTATTGTTCAGAAGAGGCCGTGAACCCTTTTTCCTTTGCGTTATTGGGTGACAGGAAACACTTTTTACGGGCTGAATTTTTCCAAATTTTGAACTAACATTTACAACTGAATCATTCCATCAGACAAAAAAAAATTTTTTTCCTCCCTGCTTATAATGAAAATCATAATAACCCCTGTCTTTCTTATGAACACATTTCACCATTTCTAGTGGCAAAATTTCTGATTTTTTTTTTTTTTTTTTTAAGCATTAAAACTTTTATTGTTTAGATGATAGAGAAGACGAAATCATAACTAACGGTTCTTTTTTTTTATCCATTTCAAGTTTTCAGTTTTCTGTTTTTTAAAACTTTTTTGTATGACTAGCACTGTTTTAGAAGGCTGAAACTGACTTCTTACATGAACTTTAACATACCCAGAAGTATCATTTGGTAAAATATCATTATTATTATGCAAAACATTATCGTCCCCTTCTTCTCTTCTTCATCACTAGCTTCAACAATTTCTGGTAAAGCAAGGAACAATATCAGTTTCATTCTGCTTTTTATCATCATCTGTTTCTTCATCAAAAAGTCTTTAAAGGGCTTCTTCTAATGTAAGGCACCTCGTTCTAGACATTTTTAAACCCTGGAATGAATATTAGCCAGAGCAACTAAAAGCATGAAAAAAAAAAAAAAAAAAAAGAGGAATATCCTTTTCCTGCTGACATTGTACTAACACAACATCAATTTTTCCTTCCATTCCCATACAAATATAAACAGCTGATTGATAAAATGTTCTGGTAAGTGGCGACCTTCGCTAAAAATATATCATCCCTAAAGATGGCAATTCTTTCATTAAATTTTTCAGAAAAAATACCTGGTCAAAAATTTTGCTTAAATTTTTCTTTAAGTATGAGACTAATCATTATAAACAAAATTATTGTTGAAAAAAAAAAAAAAAAAAAAATTTACAGAAATAACATTTATACTATTCCCTACACAAAATCATCTGCTGGTATAAAATATCTTAGATAGTTATATTTTTATACACATTTATTTGGACCATTGTGTCAATGCAACACCAGCAGTTAATGGGTTTAGGTACGATTCATGCATTCAGTTCGCAGATTCTTTTGGGAAGTCATGGATGTCAAGAATTCTTGTTTAATTCTGCATTCTTGCAGCTATTTATTAAATTCTTCTCTGCGATATTTGAGACCATTATTAGTATGAAGGATTTTTATTTTTTTTCCTATGCATTTTCACTTCGTTTTTAGTTTTAAGAAAAGTGACTTCAAAATAGCATGATTTATCATCTAAGAAGGTAACAAAGTAACATGAACCAGCATGGCCTGGGACATTCATAGGACCTCACAAATCTGAATGAATCAGATTCAGTAATTCATCACTGTGAAATTTTGTTTCACCGTAGCAACATTAGTTCGACTTTTTGGAAAAGGTTGCACAGTTTATTTTGCCTTGGATACAGACTCTACAATCGTGTAGAGATTTGTTATCATTAAAATTCAAATTTCTAACCATTTTATCAGATTTAAGTCTTTCCAAATCAAAACTCATTTAAATGACCTAGTTTAATATGCTACTTTACAAAATCACTTATCTATGATATTGCAGCATTTTCAGTGCTTTGAATATATATAATAGAGATCACCATTATGAATAGCCTGGACTAGTGTAGATCCATTTGGTTCTATAATTTTGGCATTCATTGTTAAGAATAAATTGATTGTGAATTTAGTAAAAGTTGTTTTACCAAAATGTAGAGAATAATAAATTTTAGAATAAATGTAGTAGGAATTTTTATCTTGGGCTATAAGCCAAATAGAAGGGAAAAATAAAATGTTTAAATTTCAAGTGTCATGGTTTCAAACGGCTCGTGAAATATTTGAGGATAGATAATGTGTGCTGCTGCAACAATAACCCGAATGAAAGAATGCCAAGGTAATATTCTGGTGTGTAACCTAGAATAACCTAGAAAAGTAATAACCTAGAATTAACCAAAAAAAAAAAAAATGACTTTGTAATGTATAGTACCAAAAATACACTCAACACATATTTTCCCTATGAAACACATGCTTTGTTAGTACTCTATAGCAGAAATATTGATAAATATTTGGTCACAAGGAAGCTACATAACTGTAGTCACAACCACTTTTGCAAGTTCTTTGTAGAACAGCACAAGAAGGAAAAATGATTGAAACATCGTCACTTTTTAAATTTGGACTTTTTAAATTAAAAAAGAAGTCACTTTTTAAATTTGGACACTAGGCTTGCAGGAAAGTATATGAATTGATAGGAATGAAAAATGTCTGGCTATTTTTCACAAAATTCCCATTCGTGTTCACAAGATAAAAATCACATGAAGAAGCACAAGGACCTGTCAGCCAAAATGGCAGTGCCGAATGTCCTTGGAAGAAAAATTACACGTCTTGCAGCTTTCATTCATGTGTTCGAAGAACACACCCCAAGGTGAAGTGAGGGGGAACAAGAGAGCAAGTAAACTTCAAACTGGTGTAATTATAGTCTCTTTAGCTAACGTTAGTTGACACTGTTGAAATCAAATTTGTAGTGAAAGTGATTTGTAGTGAAAAGTGAGGGCTTGCTATCACAGTCATTCTGTAAAAGGCACTGAACAATTATTTGTGGTAGGTTTAGATACTGACAGCAAACTACATTTTAAGTCCGGGACACATAGCACATTTCTGAGTCTGAGGTTAGTTGTTCCATTCCTGTTAGGTACTGTTATAAGGACAGTTTTAAGTCCTGTAAATTTTTCTTTTTTGTCAGTTGGTAATTTTATTATGGCATTCATTCATGGATGAAATTCTGAAAACGACCTTCACTCGTTGTATATGTGAGATGTACAGCCACTACTTAAGCACCATGAGGAAGTCTGTTGATAAGTATTGTTTACTGCCAAACTAGTTGGTTCTTCATAACTAGTAACCATCATAGAACCCTTATTTGATTGCACATGTTTTCTACCAGCTATTTTTTTTTCTACATTCAGATGCCTTTTGCCCAATTTTCGAACAGTAATTACACTTCAAGTTGTGATTTCTTCTTTCAGCAGGAAATTTTTTTAAAATTTACCTTCTGTTTTTCATTTTTCTATGTTCTTGGCTCATCCTTTTATTTTCAGTATAGCACACATTTTGTGGATCTTGAATCTTTTTTTCTTGCTTCCCCTTTTTTCAAGCATTTGATTTTCAGAGATGTGGGACTAGGTAATAAATCTCTTAATTCAATGGTGCATCTAAAAATTTCAAAGTTTTCTGGAGCACTGTAGAGTGGAAGAATCAATTATAAGTCATCATGTCAGTTTTCCATTTCTTCAAGCTTATCAGTTATTTCAAAGAAACTGTTCAAATGTTTAGATATCATTTCACTTTCAGCCATTTTTCTAAACAAAAGCTTTTTTACTAGGTAGCCTTCTTCACTGATCCTTTGATTCTTACATGGCTTTGAATTTATTCCATATAGCGTATGATGTCACACAGTGCTTCATAAGACACAATTTACTAGGATTAATGACAAGAATTATGCCTGTGGAAGCGTTTTGATCAGCTTTTGGAGCGATTTCTTTTCAGCATCGATTCCTTCACCAGGTTTAGTTTTTTATCGCTCACATAATCCCAATGGTCATTTTTTAAAAATATAGCTTTTAGCATTCAGAATTATCTTTTTGGAGCTTTGCTACAATAGTCAAATGCGACATAATGTAATACAATCTTACAGCCAAAACAAGATTGAGCAATTAAAAAGAAAAGGTTTAACAAAACACTGATCATTTCATATCTTTGATTAGGCTTAAGAGTTCAAAGTTTGAAACTCGAAAATTCCATTTTTAAGAAAATATTTTGCTACTAACTAATGCAGTTGAAATGTTCCTGGGCCCGTAACCATTGACGAAAAATGATGGACCAAGACGAATTATATTAATTAACATTTTTAATTAGATAAATGGTCATTGACAGCATACGCACAGGAGAGAAAATGAAGTATAGCATATACGTACATACAACAGAAGTTAAATTGTGTCATCACAACATGCCGTAAGGGCGAACTACGCATGCATCAGGAGAAGCCAAGCTATGAGCTAAACAGCAGATTAATCCAAAATTAAATTTTGGCTAATAATGAAATCTAACCTTCGATGTGGTCTCCCAGTTCCTATACTTATATTTGAGAAAGTTTGATACTTATAATGAAAAAATAAAAATACAAGAAGTTTGACTTGTATACAGCTTTAATTGACAAGAATATTTAATTTCAGAATTTGCAGTCTTTGATGTCATTTTCAGCTTGCCTTAAGGGTTTGGTTTAAGGCAAGCTGAAAATGACATCAAAGACTGGGTTAGGGGGTTAAGGGTTTGGTTTATTAAGTTAGATTAATTCAAACAACTAAATTTAAATTAAATTAAAATGATTTCTGTACTTTAATGTCCACATCAAATTTTTTAAATTTAAATTCATATTTTCATTAAAGTCATCTTTAAGCAATGTAATGCATTTATCAGTAAGTATAAATAAAAGTAAATTCTTTTGACTATATTTTAGATTAAAAATCTACTAAATTGTCACATTTTTGTATTAATTCAGTTTCCTTAACATGTGATAGCATAATGAGATTCCAAAAAACAATCTGTCTTTCACATTGGTTATGCCTGTACATCAATAATTTATTTGCACTAAAATAATATTTGTCTAAATACATTCAATAAGCAATATCCCATTTTACAGCTGTTTGTTTTGATTCTGCTAAAATAAGTTCCAATTTTGTAGTTTCTTTTGTATTTATGTATAGTATACTTTGTAGTATCTTTGTACATAAACGTGATTTAAACACTCTGTAGCTTCATCTAAACATGGACTAGTTTTCTGTATTATTTTTTTAATATATTTTTGTAATTTAATACTTTATGCATAAATATGCAAATAAAAATAAATTCAAAATTTCTTATTTTCTTTTTCATTTGCAGCACTTCTTCCTGTTGTTTGTTGTCGTTGCCTTTAAGGTGGATTTCAGTTAACACTCTCAGAATGTCACCATAATGTAATTTTCTGCATTTGAGGTAATCCTACTGGACCAATAAAGTTAGTATTCTTAAGGTTAATTTTAGTTTATTTAAGCTATTGATTGTTAAACTTTTTAAGCTCTTGATTCAGCTATAAAATTTGTTGACAAATCTGATTGGTTTTTTCTTTTCGAACAGAATAAATATTTGTTTTTAATATGTAAAAAAATGATGTCATTTCTTTACAACAATTTAGAGCATCATTAAACTAAGTGTATGTTTTGAGATGAGCAGTATATATATTCTGCATATGCTGAATAGTTTGTATTTTTTGTTGACGCTATTATAGATACCACAAGCGCCATCATATCCTTGTCCATAGCATTTTTAAGTTGAAATTTCTTGAATACAATTTCTTCATTCAAGAAATTAAGAATGAGTTCTTTCAGTCTTTCGTAAGAATGATCTTTTACAGCATAAAACCTGAGATGTTTTGTTAATTATAAAATTTATGGGTTCTGAATTATCTTTTACAATAGGAAAATGTCTTAAAACAACACTCGTTTGATCAATCTTTGAGATGTCTTGAATAACGTCTAATAATAAAGAATAAAATGGAGATGCGTTTATCTTTTCGCCAAAATTTGTTTTAGATTACAACCAGCGCATTGAATTACTTCATTTTGTATGGTAGGGATCAAATATCACATGATTCCTTTTGGTATTTCTCAAAAACTTATTGTCATATTTACTTAATTTAAACTGCTATAAAAATTATCATTATAACTAGTATTTATACTTTCACTATGCCCACAAAAAGCTAATGCATTTTTTGAAAGTGTAAGTGCAATGTTAAATTATCATTCTAAAACAATTTTCCAGAAATATCCTTCGTATTGAATTTGTTTTTTGAGGTCTTTATCAATAATTTTCTTTTTCCCCTTACGTCAGCACTCACTTCCACATGTGATTTGAAAGAAATGGGGCTTTTAATTCTAACAGTTACATTTTTCTAATCTCAAATACCTAAATGCCAACTATTATTAGAGTTAGTAAACAGTCTACAAGGTTCCATTATACAGTCAAAAGTCGTTAATCCGGACTCGTCGGGACTTCGGCGATTCCGGATTATCGATTTTTCCGGATTATAGATCATCAGTTTAAATCTGTTAAGATGGCATGCAGAAATTAAAATTAAAAAATATGAAACCGTAATTTATGAAATAAAGAACAATTATGATCTAAAGGGTATACAAAATTGCAAAGAAAAAGCTTATATTTTTGTTTACTTTATTAAACATTTCTTTCAATGTAAGTTGCTTGCGTTTCATGTGATAATACTTTCTCTGTAATTCTATTAAACAGACAAATTCTTGTTAGTTACAAAGTTCCGCTGTTCAAGTCCTATAATGCTGTGTTGAGAATACCGACTAATTGTCAATCAAAATGTTTTTTTGCAATAACCTCTGGGTCACTTTCTTCCTATGGAACGCGAATTATAATACGCGGAATTGATTTAAATCATATCAAACACGGAGTACATCGCATGAAATACTACCACTTAGTACCGAATTATAACCAAATAAAAAAAAACATCTGCCCTGAAGAAGGATAGTGCTGACAGATCAACTTCCAATCCCCAGGGGGAAATTGATAAACAGATTTCGGATTTCAAAACATACTTTCACTTTGTAGATACCAATTACATTAGTAAATATATATCGGAAATTCTATTTGACATAATCGAAGTTCAAGCTTACTTTTATAAAATTGCTCTAAACAGTCTGCAAAAAATAATAAGCCGGATCCAATTCGAGATTAAGGAAACAACGCAATCTGCAACATTAACTGAAGTTAGATAATTTTAGCTGCTTATACTATTACACATAAACGCGCATGTGCACAAACATATTCGCAGCCGTAAAGGTCTTACGCACACTCTTAAACGCCTGTGCGCATGCGTGAACGCGACGCATGCGCAGAAAGTTTGTAGCTTTGAGGTCCGGATTATAGGTGTCCGAATTAACGACTTTTGACTGTACAGCATTCTATCGTCTAGAGGAACAACCAGTATTGTAGCACTTGTCCATGCTTCATCGTGAATGATATGTTGCACCAAAACCCCTTTTCCATTGTTTAGTATCATTTTGAAATGAGCCCATAGGTTTTTCTCCATTTTCATAACAAGTAGTTAGAAATCTTTTCATATCATTAGTAATATTTTTACCTATATAATAACCTATATCCGCTGATGTTCAGGTATATGTTTCTTTTATATGCATGTTGTCAGCCTTACTACTAGAGGCAACTTCAGCTGGTAATACAGCCTTTTTTCAGGCTGTTTTTGGTAGAGGCAATATCTATTGAAGAATCTTTTTCTGAGTATGATGTTTTAATAGCAAAGTTGTCTAATTTTTGGGGCTTACCCCCCTTTTTTTTTCTCCTGTGTGTTCTTTCTCTCAGTTTTGGGCCCCAACCTTTTCTTATCCATTTTAAATTATAATATATGTAGTATTTTATCAGTTGTCTTATTATTTTAATCTTTCTTAACTTCAGATTTTTTGCTATTTTAAGACCTTCTTATGTTCAAATATAAAACAGACAAAGTAAAAACAAATACGAAATGATTATCATACCCAAAATAGGCCAGCTTTGCTTAGATTGCACATGCCCTTCTGATGACAATGCTTTATATTGCAGACGGGTCAATATGTGAACACAAAAAAATTAATTATGCAACAATGGAATTAACAACAAACAAGATAAGGTTGCTGTGGCTTTCAATTTTATTTCTAATTTTTGTATTATTCAAAAATAAGGTTTAAGACTTTTATAATTAATAGCATATTTTATTCATGAAATTTTAAGTTATATATGTACTTATAAAATATTATGGATGGATTTGACAGCAGATTTATTAATTCAATATTTCTTTTTGAATATTCAAAAATAAAAAAAAGTAATAGGCCCTTAAAATGTGTGGGCACTTAGGCATTGCCTAATCTTGCCTACCTATAGTTACGCCACTGCCTTAGACAGATTATGAATAGCTAGTGGTTTGTTTGTAATCTAGCAAAACCTACTGCTAAATTAGCTAAGAAATTCTTTAAAAATCAAACAAAAATAAATAATAACATAATACCAACCGGACTATGATATGAATGATCAAATTAACACCAGAAGGTCTGGTGCATTATTATGAGCACTGAATTAATATTTAATTAATGGTTGACAAGCATTTTTTACTTACATGTTGCTGCCTTATAAAATCTACATGTTAAATTTTTCTTTTTAATGTTTAACATACTTAGTAGTTAACCCCTTATTTACACATTATCCCATCAACTGTGAAAATTGGCAACCATCGAATCGCAAAAATTAGTGAAGATCTTATCAAAGTTGGAGCAGTTATTCCTGTCGTATTCTGAAGGAATTAACTCTTCTTTTTTAATAAACAATTTTTAACATTAAACAATCAATCTGCTTCATTTTTACCCTTAAAATTTTTTTCTAAAATTTTTACTGTTTTAATAGGTTTTGTGATTTCACTGGAAGTTCTATTTAGAACACTTTGAGTATAAAATTTCTGCAGATAATTTTTTCAGTCTATTACTGTTTTGTCAGCCATATTCAGATGACAATATTATGTTCATTGATACACACTTCTTTGATGGTAAGATCCTATAACTTTGAAAATAACCCACTGTTTGGTGTTCTGTAGAAGTCAAATTCAAAAGTTTAATCTTTGTTTTTCTTTCAATTTGAAGGGGGGATACAGTATTAACAGTTAATTTATATCCTTATTCATAAAAACAAAACCTGGCTGATCAAGAATTAATCAAGGTTGCATGAAATGAAAGCAAGATGGTATGAGTATGTTGTATTTATTCATAATTGCTGCTGTGTTATGTTACTTGGTGACAGTTTCATGGTTAATGGGATAATATGTAAGTACCAGTAACCCTTCCTCAATTTCGGCCGATCAAAATTTATGTATGGCTCTGAAATCCTGCCATTCCCTCATTTGCCTGTAATACATCATCTTGCATTTCTACCTTATTGGGGATGGTCCCACAACATCCTCCAGCTCCATCTATCTCCTAGTTTATTAAAGTCACCTGACTAGATGCTCCTTTCCATCCTGATGAATGGTTCTATCCTCTCAGCACCCTAGCTCGACAATTATGGAAGGCTTATCTGAAATCTCTCTGCATTTCCTTCTGTTTTTGAGAGATTAATTAATCTGCAGAAATTAAAGATATGGTACTCTGTTCATTTTTTTTTACACAGGATAGAGCTTAGCACTGGTACACTGCGAGAAGGGGATGGGACAGTTCTGTATCTCTTGATCCACTGTTATTGAAATCTCTGTTTGTGATTTTAAAAGAATATTTTCAGCAAAAGTATTGTGGTGAGTTACTGTGTGCACCAGAAATAAGAATTTGCAAAGCAGCTATATAAAAGTTATTGAAATCTCTGTGATTCAATTTAGTTTAAAAGATAATGCAAGAAGAAAAATTTAGCTCTTGTGATGAAAAAAAAAATTTCTTAGTAGACCAGCTATCTGTGATTAATTCCCAAAAATCTGACTGGTGATGATATTTATACTTATATAGTCAATAGACACTTGCAATTTCTTTATTGAATGCTAATTTCCCTTTACATTCTATATGTGGTCTTAAAAGTCATTGCCTGTGAAACGGATCATGAACAGTATCTGATCAATAAAAAGCTTTTATTTCAAGAGTGACAAATTGCCTGTGATTCAGTAATTTAAATTGCAGTTAAAAAATTACTCTAATTATCCTTCTTTGCATGTAACTGAAATTGGCATAAATTTATGGATTGGATGCCCCCCCCCAAAAAAAAATACTGAGGAAATTTTATTGGTTAATAAAGCAATTGTTAGAATAAAAATGTGTGAATTAAGAAATTTTAGAACATGCTAATTATTCTTATGTAAACAACAACAAAGAAAAGAAAGAATGCTTGGTATTGATATATAAATTTTATATTTAATTTGTTTACAAGTATGCCTATTAATAATTCGAATAAGATTATAATAATTCGAATGTAAAACGTAATTTATTTTATGAAGAAAGATACTAGGAAAATAGAACCAGTGGTAAGCTTTTTACTGCCTATATATATCAAATAATTTTGTAATATTAATTTTGTTTTTAAGAGACCTACCAAATGTTACATGTATTGAAAACTCTTTGAGTGCTGTCTTTGTGTGCAGATATATATACATACATATATATACGTAATAAACTGAGAAAAAAGCTCGTTATGATAACTTGGCTTGGAATTTCTGGTTCCATGCCAAGTTATCATAACGAGAAACTTGCAGATGTGGCCAAATTCAGTTGTTTTCTTTTTATTCATAGTTGATGCACATTTTAATTTAATCTAACACAAATCAAATCAGTGCCACAGTGCCTTGTACTTAAAGAGTGTTTTACATTGGATAAGTTTGAAGAATATGCTTTTTGAATGCAACGGCATGTTGCTGTAGCGAAGCAAAAGAGTGCAAAGAGAGGCAAACCTAAAGACCGAGCAAAGAGAAGAGAAAAGATTGCACAACAAAGACTTTTTATACAGAGGCAGGATTACAGTATGAGTTAACATTAAATGAATCAAATTTCAAATATATACAGATTAATATTTAGATGCTGAGTTAAGATTTCATTACATTGCAGAATAGAGATTAGATAATGGATCACTTTTTCAAATTACAGAAAGTGTAAAGTTTATATTAGAAATGTTGTGCTACTTATAGAATGAAGAGGGGAGCATGCTCAAATTTTGTTGCTGTTAATTTATTACTAAAAAGAGTAGATATTTTATATATTACATATTCCCTTCTTCAAAATGAAAAAGGCTTGGTGAGAGAAAAACCTCTTCTTGTCGCAACAGTATCAAAAATGTAAATGTTCTTGAATAGGCATAATTAGAGTGCCAAGTAAATTGTGGCTGCAAATGCCAATTGGCATAAAGATGAATATTTATTTATTATTAATTGAATTATTCTAGTAGATTACACCAAGGAAGATTAAATATTAATATATATAAATATTTAATCTTCCCTGGCTGCTAACAATTTACACCACCAATACTGCTAAGTTTGCTTTATTACATACATATATACATATAGTATATTCTTGATTATGCACTTTGATACTGGAAAAGCAGATCAACAGATGATTGAAAAACATGGAAAATCCAAATTCAGTTTTCATGTATATTGTATGTTTATTTCTTTAAAAAATCAGTAATTTTACTTTTTTTTAATGATGTTTAATATTTGTCAAATTTCACTGTGTATTTTTCAAAGTGCTATGTTATCATTGTATTCAAATCCCCTTTGTTTGATGAAATCCAGTTGAATTTGATGAAATCCAGTTGAAGTCACTGATGTCTCAGGACTAATGTAATAGTCAGTATCTTTTTCACTTGTATTTTCAGCATCCCTCTCTGCCTCAGTTCTTATGGTATCAGCGATCAAAACCCGTTTGTGTACGCAATATGCAGATACAGAAGAACAGTGGCTCAGAGACCTTATTTCCGGAATGCAGCTTGCCGACAAAAAACCGTCACACCTCTTACTGGAGATGCGAAGTAAAGCTGGCTCACGAATGAGTGAGGATCTTCTTAAATCGCTTTTTTTGCAACGTATGCCGACGCATGCACAACAGATTTTAGCCATTTCCAGTGACAAGTTAGACAAGCTAGCTGAGATGGCCGATGGTATCATGGCAGCCACCGGAAACAGTGCTTCAGTGTTTGAATTAAAAACAGAAGACTCTGCGCTAAAATAATTATTAATGGATATTTTATCTCGCCTTTCTCGGATGGAAACACATTCCAGATCACATTCAACCGAACGAGAGAAGCAGAATTAAAGAGGCCGTTAATCATGCCGCCAATGACAAGGTAATAGAGAGCATTGCTGGTACCATCAGCATTTCAAAGAAAAAGCCACCAAGTACACAAAACCGTGTACCTTCCAGGCGGAAAACTAGTGCCTGTCCCGTCACTCTTCGGGTGACAGCGAACCAATCTTCGGGTGACGGCAAAACCGAGATTTATCGTTTATACCTTTCAGATAAATCCACCGCATCAAAGTATCTGATTGATACAGGAGCAGATGTCTCGGTAGTTCTGCCCACAATTACGGAGCGAAATCAGCCACCCGCCAAGCATCAACTTTTTGCTGCAAATGGGACTACAATACCTACTTTTGGACAAAAACTTATTAAATTGGACTTATCTTTACGTAGAGAATTTCATTGGCCGTTTGTCATCGCTGAAGTCTCTCAACCTATTATTGGAGCTGACTTCCTTTGTCACTTTGGATTACTGGTCGATATTCGTCAGAGATGTTTGGTGAATCCACTTACCCAACTACATTCCAAAGGAACTGTGACTACGAAAGATATAACTCACATCAAGGCAGTGAAAGGAGATATTAAATTTCACCAACTGCTTGCCAAATTTCCTGCTCTTACAGAAGCTAGTTCAACATCACGAAAAATTAAGCACGACATTACTCACTGTATTGAGACTAGAGGCCCACCTGTGTTTTCACGGCCGTGCAGACTTTCAACCGATAAGCTTAAAGCAGCCAAACAACAATTCCAGTACCTAGTTGAAACCGGAATCTGCAGACCTTCCAAAAGCTGCTGGTCATCTTCTCTGCACATGTGACCAAAAGCAATGGAGATTGGAGACCATATGGGGATTATAGGAAATTAAATAGTGTCATTGTTCCAGATTGGTATCCTGTTCCTCACATACAGGATTGTCTTCAAGTGTTAGATGGGAAGCGGATATTTTCAACTCTGGATTTGGAAAAAGCTTACCATCAGATTCCCGTGCGAGAAGATGTGCCAAAAACAGCCATTTCTATACCATTCGGTCTTTTCGAATATTTATTCATGCCATTCGGGTTATTGAATGCTGCTGCTACATTCCAGAGGTTTATTCATCACATTCTCAGCGAACTGGACTTTTGTGTACCACACTTTGATGATGTATTGGTAGCATCTGAAAATGACACCCAGCACATGCAACATCTTAAGATGGTGTTCCAGCGATTCACGGATTATGGAGTAGTGCTAAATGCAGCTAAATGTGTCTTGGGTAAATCAACTGTGAAATTTCTAGGACATATGATAATACCCGATGGAATCACTCCTTTGCCAGAGAAAGTTTCAGCAATTGTGAATTTCCCCAAACCAGAAACTGTGAAAGAACTTGGGCGTTTTCTGGCTATGTGCAACTTTTACCGTCGCTTTATTCCGCAAGCTGCAAAAACTCAAGCAATTCTCAATACATACCTAAAGGGAGCGACGAAAAACAACAAAAGACCAATTGAATGGACGGAAGTAACCACAAAGACATCTATCAGCGCAATTGTTTTGCTGAGAGTCCAGCAAGCAGTAACTAAAATTAAGTGAACCGTGTAGTATAATACGGGAAATCTCCCCATTTGCCCTGCTCCCGAGAAGTAAGGAACATTCAACCAAGTTCTACCTCCAATTCGACGAGGCAGTTAATGCTTCCCATGTGAACGGGACACATTGGAAGAACCGGTTTTCGCTACCAGTCGAATCTGCTCTTGTGAACGGGGCTTTAGAAGTCATTTTGTCTCATCATCTGTGAAACAGCATGTATTTCATGCCTGATGGCAGTTGTCAATTTGTCAGTCATTAACAAATTATGACCCAAAACTCTCAAGTAACTCTTTGGTCAGATCAATAAAAGTGAAAATCAGACAATTTGGAAATATCTTTGATGAAAGTATAGCCATACATTGTGCTTGCTATTGCACTGCTGTTGGAAGCATATTGTGTCCACTGACTGCCTTGTTTAAAATTCTGGCTATCTTCACTATTCTATCTTAATATTGTTGCATGCATACAGGTTCATTATGAATTGAATGAACAAGTCCGATGAGAAATGAACAAAATTTATTATTATCATAACAAATAAAACAAAATGGTTAAATTTCCTCAGATATTTGTACAGTATTACAATATCTCACAGTAGTTATATTTTAACTACTCAAACTTTCAACAGAACTTAATTCAAAAATGCTAGAGAAAGCTAATCCGTGAATTCACTACAGTCAACAAGAGCAGTTTTCAAGACAAACTCTTAAAACAAAAACTAACTGAATTGAGAGGTTTTCCTCCTTTTTATAAGCTTTTTAAATCACGCGTGAGATTGTTCTAGCAGTTTCTCGAAATCAAAAAGAGATGTTTATTTATTAAATGTTAAATGCATGTGCTCTTGTATTTTTAATTTTCCACCTTAGCCTTCTTTTAATATTCGTCACTGCTGCACTGCAATTTTATTTATAATTCTACTAACATTAGCTATTTAAATACCAAATCTGTAACAGTATTTACCGAATATCGATGACAGAGCCTGTTTGAATAAAGGTGTGTCCTTTGCTGTAATCTGCAACTGCACTAGCCAACAGTCTACGGCAGTGGTTCTCAATCTGTTGACTAACACATGCCATCTAAACAAAAACTGAAAAACTTAAGTGCCACCACTACATTTTACAACAATTATTTTTCAATTTATCAAAGGAAATATTTAAAAAAAGAGTATGTTTTGCCATTTGCAGAATCTGCTGGCTATTTGTATTAAATATGCACACATAAAAAATATTAGAATAAAATTGGTTACCATTTTAATAAACAAAATTTAAGTTACAATACTTTAACTCTGAAATTTAGTATGAAATTTGGGCTCTTTAAGAGAGATCAATTTCTTTATATCTTGTCTTATTTCATTTAGTTTTAATTGTAAACTAGGATGCTGGGCAAAAAGGTAATAAAAATTTAATAACTTTATTCCTCTTAAGTTATTTTTTGTGGTTCAGTCAAAAGTTAACAATTTTTTTTTTTTTTTTTTTTAATTTTCAGTAAGAGTTCGATTTAGAAAATTTCTATCAATTGTTCTTCTCCTTCATGAGATAAAATTTCAGGTACGTTTGAATAAAATCGATTTCTAATCCAGTTTTCTTTTTCGTAACCCTCGGAAAAACACATGTTGAAATTATTCATGAATGAAAAACGATGATTTTTAATGTCAGATGCTAATTCTTCTTTTATTTTCAAATTATTTTCAGTTAGAAACGAAAAACGTATGTAATGTAAAAAAAAGTATGTAAACTAAAAGTGGTAAAAAGCTTAAAATATTATTATTTAATTCTTTGGTTATTAGATCGATTTTTTTTTAATCATTGCATTTGTTTTATCTCTAATGGTAAACAAATTAACACATTGTCCTTGCAATCCTAAATTTAATTCATTAAACTTTCCAAAAATATTTGTTAAATATGCTAAACGTGCCAACCATAATTCACTAAATAAACATTTTTGAAATTTCAATTTTAAATCACAGAGGAAATTGTGAATTTCTGATCGAAGTTCAAAAAGATGGTTTAAAACTTTGCCTCTGGATAACCACCCTACTTTGGAATGTAACAAAAGCGTTTTGTATTCACTGCCCATCTCTTGGCCATAAAATAGTAAATATTCTTGAAGTCAAAGCTTGGCTTTCAATAAAATTAATAATTTTCACTGTTTGATTCAGAATTATTTTCAGGTTTCCGTGGATTGTTTTAGCTACTAAAGATTTATGATGAATAGAGCAGGGAGTAAATAAAGTTTTAGGTGTGACTTTCCTTATTCGAGAAATAACACCGGAATTTTTTCCTGTTAAAGCCCAGCACAGTCACTGCATATGACAATGCACTTGTTTCAAAATATTCTAAGATTACTATAAATAAACTTCAATCACTTTTAAAATGTAACTTTTAATATGTACACTGAAAAAAAAAAGGGGACAGTTCTATATCTTGTTCTACTGGACCGATTGACGAAATTCAAATTGCATTCTTCAAGTCTCGAAAGCGCGATTTAGGATGTATATTAGAATTATATATAGCTCTATTCTAACATAGTTATTTTGACACAAAATCGGACTTTCCCGTAAGTGGGCAAAAAGTCACAATCGTTCCTTTTTTCAAATAATGTTCTAAATTATATTTTTAATTATAATTGTTATTATTTTAAGTAATTTTTTCTTTTTCAAATTTCATTTTAATTGTTTAAGTTGCATGGTTTCTTTCTGCGTAGTTTAAATAAAAGGTGCATCATTTATTTTTTCAAATAGTTTTCTTTATAATTTATTTTTTTGGTCATAGTTGTTATTTTAATTAATTTTTAGACTTTTATTTTAATTGTTTGTGTTGCATTGTCTCTTCAGATAATTGTTTTAGAATTTTCTATTTATTTATTGGAACTGAGCATTTTAAATATATTTATTAATATAAATTTTCCAGTATTTGATTTCATTTATTTGAATTGCTTGTCTTTCGGAAGAATACTTTGTGTCCCAGACTACGATGCATCTGAAAACTGAATATAGAGAAAATACAGTAAAGCACAATGTTCCACCTTTCAATGTTCCATTCAGAAAAGATATATAAATGAGAAAGATGTATAGACGATATTTTAACTTAGGATGACTTGCATATATTACTTTAAATAGCTTTCACATTGTGCTCGTTGCTTTACACAATTTTATCATCATACATTTAGCTTCTTAAAATGTTATTCATATTTTAGTCAAATATTTTATTTTTGAAATCGCAAGAATCAAACATTTTAAAATTAAAAAGTTTTTAATTAAAAAAATTACTAAATTTTATGCAAAAATTTATTTTTTTCTTCTTAATGGCTTGCTCTTTTTCTTCAGGCATTCTGCAAGTATATTAAGAAGCATCCAACTTTTCGAAATATCTTGGTATTTCTGACATTTATTTTAAATAAAATTATCGCCTTCCATTTCATAAAGGCCCACAAGCGATAGAGTGTTTAAGTCGCTCAACATTAATAGTTCGCTTCAGGGTTCGAATCCCCCCGAACAGGCTGGTTGCATGGGCGTTTTCTTGGTTTTTCTCATTGTAACGTGTATGCTAGCTGGTTTCCCTTAGAAAGTTCTTCATGAAGGCATCCCTCCTTTTAAGCAGGTAGCCCTTCTTTGCCATAGCTTAATAATACAGTTCAATCATTTTCATCAGTATTTGGTCAGAGCCTTTATCAGTCTTTAGAGGCTAAGCATTTTCAAGGCATGAGATGGAAGGAAAGACTGGTTTCACCAAGAGGGAAGACGTCTTTAGGTGACATTCACATGCATAACTGGATAAATTCCTGAATATTCAAATAATTCGACTAAGAAATCATGGGATTCTCCGTTTATGATGATATGATGTTCTGTAACATAATTTAAATTTATAGAAACATATAGTCGAAAACTAGTCGCTCTTCACTTTAATCTGCAATGATATCGTTTTTGTCTTTTCTGTTAGCACAAGCTTAGTTGATGGTATTTGCTGGTGTACATTGTCCAAGAGTTATCTCTTTGAACACTCAAATTCCTTGAAGTATTCTGAAAGTATATTCAAAAGCATCCAACTTTTCGAAACACCTTGTATTTTTGACAGCCAAATTCCCTTTCAAATTTTTGCTTACTTTTCTCCCTAATTTTCTTCTTTCCTTCTACATTTATTTTCAGTTCTCACCACAAGAAAATTAAGATTTTTTGATTGTTACACTTCCATAAATTTTGCATTCGTGCCAATTTTTAAAAAATATCAATTACATCAACTAGCGTAATTTACGGAAGAAAGGCCGCATCCGCGTAAATGCCGCAATAGATTAAATTGGTGGGCCGTATAGTTGCAAAATCTCAACCTATGGCCTGATATATGACATATCAGTTAAATGAAATGAAACCATAACTCAAAAATAAATTAAAGGTAAGAAATGTTGAAAATATATTTACGTTCACGTATATACTTATATTTACCCACTAAAGAAGTCCATATTTTTAATACTCAGACTATATTATAAAAAATGTTGCAACAACGAAATATTAAATTTGGATAACAAAAGGAAATTTTAAATTTTACTTACAAAAGGAATTACAGCAAACTATACATCATATGAAGTCATCAAAATCTGATTCTTCACTATCTGAATTAAAAAGATTTAGTAAATCCTGATCTAAGTTCAAGTCTTCCAGATCATCACATTCAACCTCTTGGTTTATAGTCTCTTTATCTAAGGATATAATTTCAGCTTCTTTGAACCCTGCTATTATTGACGATATTTTTACCGATTTCCATGCACTTCCTACAAACTTTGCAACTTCTTCTTAAGATGCTCTACGCATTTTATAATTTTTGGTATACATATGCAATCCTTCACTCATCCAACACTCCACCGCTTTCGGACTTCAGCTTTGAAGGATTTATTACCTGACGAATCTAATACTTGTAAGATTTTTGTCAAACCACCAGGAATTATTGCTACGGTCGTAGATAATTTTTGATATCTGTTTTTAACTGACTCAAGTAAATGAGCACGGCTCGAATCCATTGTCAATAACCCTTTTGGTTAGAAAAAAAATCCCTTCACAAATAATTATGTCATTAGGAAAATCTCCCTTCGGAATAGTTTTTCGTTTAAAAATGATCATTGGCTTTAGCTTGTCACCGTTTGCAGCACAAGCTAACACACATGTAAATGACGTTCTTTCATGCCCCGTCGTAAGCACAGATGTAGTTTTTGCATCAGTTTCACCAACAGTTCTGTTTGCAGAAGAGTCAAAAGCTAACGGCGTTTCATCCGTATTTATTATCTGTTACCAAAGTTTTTTTTTTTTTGTCAATAACATCTGTCACATATTTTAAAAAAGATGCCTTTTTATCCTGTCAGTCCATTGGTAATTGTTGCCCGACTGTTGTTCTAGTACACCCAGAAATATTTTTTTCTTTTCATAAATCTGCTACACCAGCAAGGCCCTCCTTTGAAATCATTTATGTTCGTTTGTTTTGCTATAAATTTTGCTTGTAAGCGAATTTTTACAGTCAAAATTGCCATTCCCTTTCCTTGTTGCTCCTTTATCCAGTTTGCAAGGTCTAGATTTGGCCACTTTGCAGTACCACTTGTTTTGGCTTTTTTCTGTTGTGGCATATTTTAAAGTTTTTTTTCACTTCTACAACGTTGAACTCGTCCACTTCAAACTCTCGAGCTGCTGCTTCTATTTCCAATTTGTTCAGCACGTGAAATTACATTAAGCTTAAAACCAGCAGTATAACTTCTGTGCCGTTTAGGTGCCATTTTCAAAAATTTTCCTCTCCCTTCTTACTTAAAAACTATCCAACATATACTTGTACCCAAACTGATGGGATCTGTATCTGGCAGAATGCCAAGAAAAATTAATTCATGCTGAAGAGGAAATACATCAGAGACGGTACATTTTAGTTGAAGATAGCTTTTCATTTTCTAGTCATTTTAACTATAAATAAAGTTTAAAGTAAAGTCCAAAGGATAAATATTTTAATTAAAAAATTTTTTGCTAAAAGACAAAGAAATAAAACAGTCCAGCAGTGTTTAATCTATACCATTGAGTGTACTGTGTTTAATCTGTACCATCTGATTATTGTATCGGCTACAAACAATCTAAATCATATTAAAGATCATGTTTTCTATACAATCTAGAACTTGAGAGAAAATTAGCTACTTAAATCATTCTTTCCAAGAGGATTAATGTAAAAATTTATACTTATATATATATATATATAATTTTTAAAGCTGGGATATGACCCCCCCCAAACTGTCAACGTCCTGTTTGCTTAAAAACATTGTGAAAATAAACATCAAACGAACTTTCTCAGTTTTAGACAATTCAATTTAAATGCAATCAAAGTAAAGTAGCAGACGATAACACGGCAAAGGTAAAAATTTACTCTCATAAATATTTTTTTTTTTTTAAAAGGAAAAAAGAAATTTTTTAAAAAGTTAAAAATTTGAATAATATCATCTATAATTTTTAAAAAACTTTTGTATAGTATTAATAAATATTTATTATGCATCATTGAGGGGAAAAATTTCGGTACTTACGTATTATCGC